ATTAATCTACACATAACGGTAGATTGCTGTATGGTTTCAGAAAGAGGATTTATTGTAATATGGTTGAGCGTAGACTATCATACGATGTTATCCAAAATGGTATATGATTCTACGGACAAGGGTTGATCATACTCCGTTTTCAGAGAAAGGGTTTATTATCATGCAACTTGGGTAGATTATTGTACGACATCAACAATAGCAAATGTAATTCTCCGATCATGGGCAGTCTAAAATACACTATAGAAATCAGTTGTATAGTGAGGGTCCATTTATTGGAGAAGAATCCACTGCGTTTTGAAAGATTTATATTCATTGTCTACGTTGTCAGAGGATTTACCAGCCAAAAAGATTCTTTGCTGCAGTAGTGTATCAGAGCGAGAAAGTTATGTAATCATTATTCATGAGTACTGTATTTTATCTTGTCGTTAAAAGTGTTTATGAGTACCTCCTTCAAGGAAGTTCAATCGACAATCTTAACAACAGAATTTTTACTTCACAATCCTAGAAAAGAGTGAAATTGGGTGTGACTTGGAGAGGATATTATTCAGCGTCAACCAGTATAATCGTCTACCCAAGGAGTATTTATACGTAATAAATCATAAAAAGGAATATAATAGAATATGCTATTATAAAGTGCATCTTACTACACTTGATCCAGAAAGATCTCCTGTTTATCAGTACATAGAAATATTACTAGTTTTAGTTGTAAAGGATTCATTATGTCACATTCAAAACTTGATTCTCTGTATTTGCTAGAGAAAACTTTTTCAGTTGTAGAGCTTACAACAATGGAAACTTGACTCAACAAATTGTTTCATTATCTGTATCTTCAAAATATCTAAATCTATTGTCCTCGCTTCTCCAAAACCAATGTCTGATCGTGCTTCTAAACAATTTTTAAATACTGTTACATCTTGAAGTCATCAACCATTAATTCTTCAATAAATAGAGTATTATTTTGACATAGCTATGCAATTCCTCCTTCGTCAAATGCTTTACTGAAAGATACAAAACATGAAGCTTTAAATAAATTTGGTCCGCATCTTTTCAACTGTCCAAATCTTATTGAATCTATTGTTCATGATTTGACAGAAATATATAACATGCTATCAATTAAAATTTAAGACAAACTTATTTAAAGACATCAATGTTTTAGTTTTTTCAAAATCTATTAAATGAATTGATCTTACATTACGAAAGAGCGTCTGAAGCATTTTTTTTCTGATGATGATTACGATACAATTGTACTGCTAAATAATTAGACTACAATAAGTAAGACTTATTTTATTTCAATGATTCAGATCATTAATCAAATTTAAAACATAGTGAGCCTTGTTGTTCTGGTTAATTTTTCGAATCTGGTTAGAAACAAAACAGTTAGTATGAAAATTAACTTATTTTTAAGCTAATCATCCCAAGAACTATTTAAGAGTTCTCTATTTTATCTACAAATATGAATGTCCATAGTGATCGTTTCATTGACTGAAAATTGATGGACTTGATCAGTCCTCATAATAGTCATCCAAATTTCATAGTGAATGTAAACACAATCGAAGTAACAAGTACATGGATATCATTTTTCTTCTCGTACTGGAAATAGGAAAAGATACTTTTCAAACAACAATAAAAAGAAAGAGATTCAGAAACCAAGATCATATGGCAGTTCAGCACTATCAATTGAAATATTCACATATGGGCTCCAGTCATCTAGTCAGAAAAAAACAATAAATTGGTGAGTTCGCTCATAGAGGCAGACAAAAACAAATATTTACTACATATTATTATTTTGCTTCTATTTTAGTCTTTCTTCAGAGAATTTTATTAACTTATGATGATGTTACATTACAAAGTATTCAAACAAAAGCTGCAAAATTACATACTGTGTGTGACATTGACGTACTTTTTAACTTCATATATGTCTGCAGGTTTTACATTTTCGTCGTCAATGTCTTCATGAAAAGTCTATATCAGATATTCTTAAAGAATTTCCAGCTTATTGACATAAACTCTTCGTAAGTTTAATTTTCTCAGATCATTTTATGCTAATGAAATGTTAATTTTTATTACAGGTATTAGAAGAGGTACAAATAATAATTGATAGTTGTTTAAGTCCTACTTTTACATGAAAAATGCTGATTTTAGTTGAAAAAATTATTTAAGTATCTGCTTTTGTTACGAGTAACTATAAGAATTCATTTTCTAAAGTACTGTGCTTTATTTCAGATGTAACTGCTATTCAACTAATCAAAATTCTACATAAGCATGTCGATGAAACAATGCATCATAAATTTGTTGATTCTATAATTTATTGTTTCACAGTTTCAATAGAAAAATCTTTCATTGGTACTAAAGACGACTCCACCAAATTTTAACAAATAAATCCATTGAACTGTCTCATAAATATTGAATAGTGTATGTGTACGTAAGCGATTCTGAATTATAGCTACTTAGTAATATCCTTCTCGTTGAAAATAAAATAAATATTTTCCTAATCGTTTGCCTTCAACTTTTAATTCCAACGAACTAAGTTAAAGCTCTGTAAGTATTAATTGCTTTTTCCAACTGAATTCAACAGAATACTCTATGGTGAATTTTTATTCGTTGAAAACAAGTGAGCGAATAGTACAATCTTATATTTTTATTTTTCTTTCGTCCATAACTTTGTCGGTCATTACCACGTCGAATGAAGTCAAAGTAATGCTTGAGAAGAGTTTCTCTAGTATAAAAGATGGTAAAGAAATTTCAAGTTCAATTTCGACTAATGAAGTCTTAGAAAAGTTTGCCCTTTGTAAGTAATATTATTTCAAAAAATCATGCAAAATTTTGCCATTTTAATGCAGTATGACACCCTCATTCTCCATGTTAGTGATTTATATCTTATAAATGTAGCTCATACTTGAAACTAAATTCACTGCCACATAGAAAGCCTTGAGCAGTCGGCATTATATATGCGTAAATGATATCTACACATAATTAATGTTATTGCTCTTTTCCCGAAATTTAAGAATGTATTGGAAGTATTTTTTCTCACAACCTCTCAATAGCATATAATCTGATTTTGATTTTTGTTAATGACCAAATTCATGTCTATGTTGATTTTATACCAGTTGTTTCAACAGCATCACCAGGCGATGGTCTTGGTTTTTTGAAAACATAAACTAGTAGATCGTGATGAAACAGCTAGCAGTTATAATGTTCAGATATTATTTTCTTCTAACAATAGATAAGATCAGCTGCAGAATCAAATCTTACGAAAGGCCTTAGCTAATCAAAACTAATATCAACAAATAAATAAAATCCACTTTTTTCGATTACTGACTATTGAGCTCATTTGCTATCAATTGTTAAATAGAAGAACTTTTCTCAAACATTCGTTGTTCTTATAAAATTAGTATTTGAAAGGAAAATAACCAAGAATGATAAATCGGGTGTTATCGTCAACAAGAACCAGAACTTGAAAGTCATACCCTAAAAAGTTACTTAACCCAGACCTTCCATTAACTGAGCATTAGATCTCTACACATCCAGCCTAGATAAAAATGAATAAATATTACAGCGTTTCGCAAACTCATCCATAAGTATTGTCAATCATTTCAGCTCATTTCTTCTACACTGAGAAACTTCATAACTCGATGTCTCCGTATATAACTCATAGATATTATCATTTAGTCTTTTCCTTGGTTTAAATGAGTAGGGAACACTACTAAACCGTAATTTCAAAGTGTCGTTCTAATATCATTCACTTCTGAATAATTATCCGCTGTCCAACATGCGTTTGCATAGGTGTCCTATCTGATTTCGATAAAATTGCTCGCCATTGGAATAATTAATAAAAATGCTACTTCTATTATGGAACTCTTTCAAAACTATTTTTTTTTCCTCTTTTTTTATTTAAAGCAACATAAACAACGACTTAAGCTATGATGCATAGTGCTACCTCTTGATCAATCAACTTCCATTTATCAAGAAATACCAAACATGATGGTACATAAGTCCTATTGAAAATAAATTGCATGGGAAAGATTCTTCATATATAGTTATATACTTTTTTATTAAAATCTATATCCTTCTCTTTATGTAAAAAAAT